CGCACTTGACCAATTTTTTAATTGGATATTAATTATTAAATATCTTCTAAATGACAAGGAACGACAATTTCAAATTTGGCGCATGTGTAAATTAATGTGCTTTTTAATAGTAGTTATTAAAATTGGGTTGGTTTTAAATTCAGCACGTGCTGTATCAAATTTACTTTTGTCAAGAACAGAATGCATTTTAAAATACTAATCTGAGTCCCCGATTTAAAAACAAACAAAAAATAAAAACGCTGTGCATCACAAAAATAATATTTTGTAACCTAATATTATATTCAACAATTTTGTACATTTTTAATAAATTTTGTAGCGAGCCACCACTGATGGGTATAATGCAACTCGGACATGCTCGGAATTTGCTGTTGAAAAAAGTAATAGAGAACCCTAAAATAATATAATAATTTAAGGAATATCTATGAAAAAGGTACAAAACAACTCTGTAAGACCTTTATTACAGGTAAATACATCTCCATTTTGACTTATTTGTTATATCTCCCTAATTTTTGGTGTCTGTTTGGAAAAAATACACAGCATCACCTTTTTTAAGAAAACAATGATATCCTAAATTTTGTAAATTAACTTTATCTATTATGAAGTAAATTGAATTAAAATTAATAAATCTGAAGATTGTGATATACAAATGACATTTTTAATTAAAAATTTTAAATAAATGTCAGTTGTAAGAAGTATCATTTATAATCAGCATTATCTTTAAATCAAATTGATGTACAATGTTGTCCCCTGATTTGTTATAACCCTTGAGAATATGATACGCATCTGTTTGTTAAAAAAAAATATTACTAAATTAGGAACAAACGTGCTCTTTCCATAATTTTATAGTTATTTTTAAATATAGTATTAAATTATGTTTATATGCATAAATAATTGCTTGTAGTTACTCGATTCTGTAACGATTGTAAAATGTAGATGAATGTCTAAATGCCTTTTTAGTGTTTTTTTAGACATAATAAAAAAAGTAAGTTTGTTTACAAAAACTTTTTATTAAGTTATATTCATGATGTTCATTAGGCCGCAAATGCTACTTAATGGGTTGTATTTACGTAATATAGGTTAAATGTAATACATAAATTAGGTTATAAATATGAACATAAAATACAACAAAATATAATTGGACGTTACTTTAGGGATTATCAGTGAGACGTATCCTATTTAGACAACTGGTAGACGTCGGTATTCAAGTATGTGTACGTCGTGCAATCCAACGTGGGAACGACGTTAGGAAATTAATAAAAATAGTACGTTGTTATTTTGTACGTCGACAGATCGTTGGATTTACCGACTCGGATCCAACGACGTCGCTTTTAATAAGAAAGCGACGTCACCGGTCGTATCACCAGCACCCGACCTAAATTTGCACAAAGTCTGACTTCGCTTCAAGCCAGATTTAGTTCGAAGTCAGATCGATGCTACTTGGGTACCTATAACAAATATATTTTAATAATAGTACTTATTCCTATAACAAATAGATTTACAGCAAGTGCATTTTTACAATAATTCTATCAGGGTTGTTCACCACATACGACACGGAGTATTGTAGCTAAACGATTAGATTTTTACAAATTGTAAGTTTTGGGTTCGTTGAAGAATTATTAAAGCTACAATTTAAAAATATTTTTACAAGATACAGAGTGTCCCAAATAAGTAAAAAATATTATAGTTGTATTTTTTTAAACGGAACTCCCTCTATATTATTCTATTTTTAGATTCTACGATTAAAATAAACGTAAATTTGATTAAGGTTCATCATACTTAAACCTTACCGTTTTTGAAATATTTTCAATTTTATGAAATTGCAGTAAAAATTTTAAGGCTTCATTTCTCCAAGGGTATCAAAGTTTTTAATACTAAATATTTACTGAAGATTATTTATTGACCAGATATTGTGTTGCAATAATAAAAAAAAATACTACCTTATACAGAGTGTCCAAAAATGTATATTAAATAATTACTAGCTTTAAACGGCAATAACGTGTTTAATTTAAAGGGAACACACTACATATTTTACGTGAGTCAGATGCACAATGTAATTGTCTACCAAATTGTATTATACCATTTTTTACCTATCTCTTCAAGTTTTCGTAGAAAATGCATTTTCTTATAATTTACACCTCATTTATCACTATACCCATGGAATATTGACATTTTAGATTATTTTTAAAGATGTAACAAATTTTCAAAGAGTACAGATACTAATATTGTCGATATAGTTCGCTTATTTCATAAAAAAAATTTAAAAAACTGTTTAAATATTTTTTGTTAAAGAGGACCAATTAACATGATCCTAGTATTCAAACTACATTAATTGACTGTTTACGTTGATTAATAATAATTGCTCCAAATACTAAAAAACTGAATTTTGTGTGTGAATTAGTAACAGTGTGGTAAAAAGTAACGCCTTATAAATTTTATTTCATTTTTTGACGAATGCTTATTTATAAAAACAGAGACGTTTATTTTCATAATTTATTATTATATTGATTTCTGAGCCAAATACACATTTATTTAGAACACTTTATTAATTAAGTATGTAATTAACTAATTTTTGGTCGGAAATAATGGTGGTATATTTAATTCGTATATACTCTTTTATAAAGGTTTAAATAGTTTTTTTGGTATACCAATGGGCTTGCAATATTTACCACCTGTACATTTTGTGCATATATGTTGCTTAAAAAAAATCTGAAATGTTTACCCATTCCATGAATATAGTGATAAATGAGGCCTAAATTAAAAGAAAATGCATTTTCTACGAAAAGTTGAAGAGATAGGTAAAAAATGGTATAATAAAATTTGATAGACAATTAAATTGTGCATATGATTCACGTAAAATATACAGGGTGTTCCATTCAAATTAAACACGTTATTGCCGTTTAAAGCTAGTAATTATTTAATATAAATTTTTGGACACTCTGTATAAAGTAGTAAAATTTTTATTATTGCAACACAATATCTGATCAATAAATAATCTTCAGTAAATATTTAGTATTAAAAACTTTGATACCCTTGGAGAAATGAAGCCTTAAAATTTTTACTGCAATTTCACAAAATTGAAAATATTTCAAAAACGGTAAGATTTAAATGTGATAAACCTTAACCAAATTTACCTTTATTTCAATCGTAGAATCCAAAAATAGAATAATATACAAGGTGTTCCATTTATAAAAATACAACTATGATATTTTTTACTTATTTGGGACACTCTGTATCTTGTAAAAATATTTTTAAATTGTAGCTCTAATAGTCCTTCAACGAACCCAAAAATTTATAATTTGTAAAAATCTAATCGTTTAGCTACAATACTCCGTGTCGTAGGTATGTGGTGAACAACCCTGTATATTCTATCTATTGCTATTGATTACTGTTATTTTTAAATTATCGGTATGCGGATATCTCTAAATATACCTATTTTAATAAAAAAATATATATTTAAATAAATTAATTTTCGAACGAAATAAATTCCCTGTATGTACCATTTGTATTGATTAAATTCACTGCTAAATCAAACCCTCTTCCAAAATATGTATTTGGAATTAATTTGCAAAAAATACCAACATTAGCATGGTGGAAGTCACTGATAGCTAAATGAACAACTAAGATGTAGATATTCATGAAAATGAATATATAACAGTAGCTTTAGAAGGATGTATTTTCTTCTTAATGCATTTAAATATTGTTAACTTGTTTATCTTTGAATTGGGGAAATAGATGTTTTGCAAATTTATATATTTACATATTTTTATTGGTTTGGTTGTTTGGCCAATAAAACTTCAATAAATCGTCAATACTCCGTGTCGTAGGTATGTGGTGAACAACCCTGTATATTCTATCTATTGCTATTGATTACTGTTATTTTTAAATTATTGGTATGCGGATATCTCTAAATATACCTATTTTAATAAAAAAATATATATTTTCGAAAAGTTTAAATTTATTTAGTGACATATACCTTATGATAAAAAAACGGTGTGAAAGGCGACACAGGAATTACAATGATAATTTTGGCGAGGTCAATCTATAGACGTAATTTACTAAAAACTGACATAAAACTTATCAAAAATTAACACTAATTATAGAAAGATTCAAAAACAATAAAACGTGTCCTAACACAGAAATCTATATCCCAAAAAATATTTTTCTCGAATTTTACACTACACCATTTAAAAATCATTTTTATTCAATATAAAAATAAATTACAACTTTGTTAAACCCAACTGGTAGTAAGCGCCATTCAAAAATAAAGAAGAGAACGGGCCAAGTATTAAATGACGTCTGACGTCTAGGGCTTGACCTCGCCAAAATTATAATCGATTGTCATTCCGAGCTGTTTTTGACGCCTTTTTTTTTCGATCGTATAGTATAAAAATTAAATATATATGAAGAAGGGGCAAAAATTACCTCCGCTTATTGTTTGAAATTTTATTTAAACACCGTTCTAATTTTTAGATATTTTCCTTTGTTCTAGCGACTTAACGCGATTCCTAATTTATACCTCGACATCGAATCAACACAATAGCCTCCATAAAACGAACCGGGCATAAAAATCGTTACGTGTTAGCACCTAAAACCTCCACGAACTAAATAAATTAATTTGCCCAGAAAGCGCAAAGCCCCCCGCTCCCACTCCTCCCTCTCAGCAATAAAGCAGTCGCAGCGTAAAAACCCATAAAGCGAAATAATTTACATTAAACACATGCTAAATAACCTCCCAAAACAAAATCTCATTTATCGCCCTCCGAAACAAATTACGTCGACGGCCGAGCGCAAATTGGACAGATGATTGGTGGGCCGGGCGCGGATAGCAATGGCCTCGAGCTCCGCCCACCGCCAATCGAAACACCCGGCGGCGTTTTTACAAAGAAACAGACCCATCACGATTGGCCGAGGGAAGGAGAAGGGGCGGAGCTCGTTAAGGAGGTGTCGGTGGGCAGATTGGTGCGGGCACCTTCATCACTTGTTATGAGATCTGTTGCGGCTTCACGTGCGTTTACGAGGACTGCTAACCGGCCCGATTTGGTGCTATGTGAATTCGCGCGGGTGTCAGTTTTGGAATGTGCGAGTGGCGCTCTCGATTTTTTCGCTAGGGCATCAAAAAATGCAAGACGTTGCCGCCGGCTCGCCACAAGGTTCTAACGGCGAAATGTCTCCCTACCTAGGATCGAAGTACCCTAGTCCGGCGGTCTCTAGATCTCCCAGTCCATGCCGGGCAATTTCAGAGGACGAAATTAGTGTGGGGTGTCCTAGTCCGGCGTTAAGGAGATCGTTCAGTCCAGAGTACGACGAATCTGACGACTATTTCGGACCTTTAAAACGGTTAAAAATGATTCCGGAACGACGTATCTCTCCAACGGCTGAGGAGCGCGTGGAAGGTGTGAAAAGCTTCTCGATTACGGATATTTTGAACCATAAACCATCCAGGTCTGTGACGGGGGGACGTATAGTGCGGCCGTGGGACTTGGATCCAGCCGAAGCCGAAGCTCATCAGCGACGGTTGGAAAATCTTCATCGACAGTTAAAGGTTCAGCAGCAGTTGGCTTTGTTGAGGCCAGATCTGGTGGCTTTTGGAGCTAGTTACACCTCAGAAACGGGTAGCGATCGGTCGTCTAGCGTGGCCAGCGATTGCTGTTCTCCCGATGTGATTAGTTCGTCGCAGCAACGGCAGAAGCAGCAACAGCAAGCTGGAGGGCCCGGAGCTACTCCGTTGGACGCGCTGTTCCAGATGACGTCAAAAACCTTTGATTCGTCAGCCGGAGAATCAAGTGCAGGTGAGTTTTACATAGTCATATGCTCAGAACCGTAAATTAACTATAAACATATGTTTTTACTAAATAGCGGAGATTTGTATGAATGAAGATATCGGATTGTTGTAAAGAATGATCGGACCATTTTTTAAAGGACAATTCAGTAAATATCTGTATATAACCCTTCAATTACTTGTTTTTAAAATGTTCCGAGTAGTATTCAATTAGCTAATAAATAAGAAGGAAAATAAAATAAAGATGTAAGTAGGTATAGTTCAAATTTCGGACGTTTTTTAATACAATGCTTGCTTTAAAAAGAAATAAAGAGGAGATTGTCTTTCATAAAAATAGATTACAAATGAAATAAGTAATAATATAAATTTTAGATATTTTGACTACCTCGAAAAAAAATTCTAAATAATGCTAATCATACTCTTCATAATTATGTATATCAAAAGATGCTAATTATCTATTTATTGTTTATATAGTTTAATTCTTTATATTGATTCCTGACTGGAGAGATGCTGTAGTTATCTATTTTTAATTATTTCTGCTACTATAACTAAATATTAGCCGTGTTGGCCACTGACATTAAATTAATGTTCAAAAAAAATTAATGTACATTCAAAAGTATGCCGAATAGAGAACAGGAATATTCCAATAAAAAGCTATAGAACTATATAACTTAACTAAATATAAAACTATAGAACTATATAACTTAAATGCTGTAACATAAATGCGGAACGATTGTGCTATTTAGTGTAAAAATTTAAGTACTAAAGTTTGTGGAAATGAACGTTTCGTAAACTGTTTTATTATGATATACTAAACGACAAAAAAACTATAGATAAATACTGACATTTCCTTAAACACTTCAACCTTATCGATAGAAGATTTTGATTTATCGATGTAAATATCGCTAAGCCCATCCTGTTTACTTCAATACGGTATAATTAGGGACGATACTTCGAACTTATTATAGAGTGAGTAGTCATCTAGTCAACATGTCTCGAAATCTTTTAAACATTTCAGCTTTCCTCATAGTTAATTTTTATTCGTTAATTTAAATAAATGAAGATGGCTCTCATATTAAACACATTTGATTTAAATAAATAAAATTGCTAGAAGAATGATCAAATAGATAAATATAAAAATAAGTGAAAATACCTTATTTCTTATACAACCATTCTCGTCTCGTTGGTTTATAACTTTTCAAAAATATGAAAATTTAACATTTTAATTTTACAGTAAGTAAGTATTTTTTTATTATTTAATTTTACAATAAGTAAGTTTAGTTTTTCTCTCGTTTTGACATTTAATTATTAAAGTTGATTGGTCAAATGCATTATTTTGATGATAATTAATTTATATTTGAATAAATCTGTTTTTTGATAATGATATTCATGATCACTTTTTATCGTACTTGACAACTATCATATTGGCTAGATTTTATGATTTTTTTTTGTTTAGATTTTATAACTGGCATGTAATTATATATTATCATCACCCAACATTTTTATGATGCGGTATTTACAAGGCTAGTTATTTTAGTTGAATTGATATAATTATAAAGTACTTTTTAATGGTATTATATCTTGTGACGTTTAAATATGCGGTATTGCTCCCATTGGCTGCTACAACTTCCTGTAGTTTGTTTCCGTTCATTTCTGTCAATAAAGCTGCATATATCATATTGCGTTATGTTTTCCCTTTCTTCTTTAAATACCAAGCTAAGTTCATTTAACGAAGCTGGTGCCGCTTCACGATCTCTAACCCTTCTGCCAAACATTTCCCAAATGTGCTCATAGGGTTCAGATCTGTCGAACATGCTTGGCAATTTATAGTAGTATATAGTTCACAATAAGTTCACAAAGCTACCATGTTATATTGAAAAATAACATCAAAAAAAATTGAAAATTGAAAAAATTGAAAATGTTAGGTGGCAAGTTCATTTCGCTCTTAATACTTAACCAAGACATATATTGTCATGATCCGAAAAACAAAATGTTCAGAAGACATGGTTCTGACCAAAAAATAATGTCATTGGAAAATTTGCGCAAGAAATTATTGTGCAGGGTGTTTTAAAATTAAAGTAAAAAACAACCCTTCTAAAAATTGAGTTCACAAATTGATCCAAACTAGTCATAAATAACTTAAAATTTAAATTATACTTTAATAAATTATTAAAGTATTCATTAATCCAATTATTAAAATAGTATACATTATTATTTATTATATATTAAGATAATATGTGCAATTACACATGTAAATTATACGTAAAAAATAATATTCTAAGCGGTATTTACAATACTGCTTAAAAAGTAAAATTGTAGATGTATTTGCAAGGTTTAGCAGAGCATTTTGACAAATTTTATATTTCAAAAGTCACATGGAAGAATTTATCTATTCACTTTATTAATCGTGAATAATAATATAGCCGTAAGTATTGAATCAGAAAAATAATAACTAAATATTCATAATAAGTTGTTTGTACAAAATTAGAATATAAATCAAACAGGGCTGAAGTGATCGTAACCATTGCTATGAAGCTTTTTATCTTTTTTAAGTAAAAACCTCTTAGGAAAAATAATAAATTGCTTAGAAAACAAGTACATGGAATACTGAAAACGTGACTTAAATTAACTTTTTACAAGCTGGTAGGGTATCTAGTTATACAAGTAAGAGTTTTTCATTAAAATAGGGAAAAAGCATGTATATAAAAACATATTGATGAAACATATATTCCACTCAATATAGCTAATCCTCGCATAAAGATTTTAGAACTTATGCAAACAGTAACATCTCAAGAAATCCGGTGGGCTTAATTCAAGTAATATAGAGCTTTGTTGATCTAGACAAAATGGAAATGAGCAGTTAAAAAGAGGAGTTATAGAAAGGAGTAAGAGAGAATTAAACTACTAGATATATATTTCCAAAATCTTAATGATTACCTACCTAGATGAAAAATTAGCCTTGTAGAGATAAATAGGAGAACTGGGGGCAATAATATACTGTAAAAAAAATGTCAGAAAAGTAATTTGCTTGGAATCTCTTAGTCTCAGTCTAAAATCTTTTAAATCCCAGTTTAGGTACTATTTTTAATAGCAGATATTATGCTATATCAATCAGAGAGGATTTCTTACCCCAGTAATAATGGATTATTATAGTTTTACATTAGAAATCTACACCACAAGAAACGTTCATATTAAAAATAATGACAGATGTCGCAAATGGTATAATCTTTGAACTAGAAGATCATCTGAAATTGCTTGAGTAAGAGGATGAAAATTACATAAATTGGCTTTACAAAATTTATTTAAAATTCTGCATGAGTTTGAAGACTATTATTTATAGTCACGACTTTCATTAGATACATGAAATTCTATTAATATGATTAAAACAAGTGATGAGAAAAAAATGTGACTCCTCAAGGATAAAACGGAGATTTATGTTAGAAAAACTGTACGAGTAGAAATCTGCAAAAAATATATAGCTATTTACATTAGGTCTAATTACAGAAACAATTTCTAGAAGAATGAATTATATTGGAGTTATTATGCTATAGTTTAGGAAGCGAGTGCAAATTATTGTGGAAATTCAACTTAAGTACTAAATTTTATATCAACTGCAAATTTTAACTTGAAAACATCAGCCAGTAATGTCATTATTATGAAAAGATTTTAATAAGAAATCCTAGATAGATCATTTTTATTAGAGTTGGTATTAGCCTATTCCATTGTGATTTATTTTGGTCCCTTTATCTCTACATACATTCCTCAGTCATATCCTTTTCAAAATCTCTTATAAATTGGAGAGAAATTTCCATATACTTATTTGCAAATGGATTACCATTGCTCAGTATAAAGACCGGCACATTTGGTGGGCTATCGTATTGACATGAATGTATTCGGCCGTCTTTTTGCCGAGTTATTCAACTTGCAATGTCCTGTTACTAGTTCCACCACTATTTTAGAGTTATTCGATATTTGCTTATCAGATATGCTCTAAATTTCGGCGAATGTTCTACTATGAACAGTTTCTCCTGCCTCTATCCAGTGAAATACTGCCACCATTCTAGAGATATATTGACAAACTACTATTATATTACATAATGAATGCCGTGATTACATTTTGGAAATTGTGACACGCTTGGATAGTCTTAGTGGGAAAGCTATTGCCATTATTCGCTTCTACTATTCCAACTCCTGCGCCCTCTGGCAATCTTGAAACCAGTATCTGTCTACCAGCTCTCCACAGCTTGAATGAGTATCCCGTTTTTCCAGTATCTAATGTCGGGTCCACATCAAACCAACAAAGCAAAACGGCAACACAACAAAATTGCATGTTTTCAAAAACAGTAAAAATGCACTCCAAAATAAAAAGTCGATATGCAAACAAATAACCAACTTGTGATGTTAATCTTTATAAAAATGGATGGTGCCCATAATGAAGATTTAAATTATCTATGATTTAATTATTTTTTCAAACCGGCAAAGATTTCTTTGATGTATTTAACACTCCAGCGTCAATGCTGCATCATTGTTGGTGCGGTCAGTCGGGTGAAGATCATTCAACCGACATTTTCGACCTAAAGTGCCTCAACTACGGATCGGAAAGCATTCAAAATTTATGTTGATAACATTTTTGTCGCCAGCCTTTGTTGTGTATTTCTTTTTTTATCTATCGATAACGTTTTTTGTTTTTCATTCTTATCTGCAGATGTAGGCATTCGTGTGTTTTTATGAAAAGATATTTGAAATGAAAACACAAAATTACAATTGATATATTTTTATTCTTTTATTCAGTCTCTATCTTAAAACCGGCAAAGTATTCTTAAATTCTCTTGGTTAACAATAATCTCAAAAGTTATTTGCATTAATGGCAACTTGTTAAGGAATGGAAAGTATATCATAACTCAGGCAGACCTTAGATTTAAGTTTTTCACATAAAAATGTTTGAAGCGATTCAAGAATAAATACTACGAAAAATATAAGTGTTGCGAAATTTTTTGTGAGGTGTGTATT